TATATATATATATATATATATATATATATATATATATATATATATATATATATATACATATATATCGGGTGTCCCCCAAAAAATTTGCGCTGTTTGATTTAATGTAACATAAAAACTATATAAAAGCTATATATTGCACTCAAATAAGTTAATTGTATTCAGAAAGGGCTAAAACATGACGTCGACGAGGGGGTGAAAATGACGTTTCCTTTTTGAACAAGTGAATTTTGTGCATCATTTGGACGAAAACCCGAAATCTGCAGATATTGTTCACAACTTCATTACTTTGGTTTCTATTTGATCCAATCCTCTTTCTAAACTGTTTGAATTGATATTAGGCATACAGGGTTTATATTAGCGAAATTCAATGATGTTTACGACCGCATGCTTTCCGTTTTTATATGTGTTTATTAAGTGCTGGAAATATTCAACCTCTAATCTTTTCTTTATTTTAAAATTGTGTTGTTGTAATGCAGTTTTTGTTCTTGAAAATGTGTGTTTTGCTCAGAATTGGAAGCAGTATTGAAGTGTATATGGTCAACAATGTTTGCACTTTTGTTGTTTTGTTATGGCCGAGCTTATGCCGATGAAAGCACTTGGCAAAACTCAACGCGTTCAAATCTCAGCGAAATATATGAAAATGTCAATCTATAATGCTGTTATATATAAATCATCATCACAATGCTGAAAGACAAATGCACCACGACATTATTACTGTTTACGCGAAGATTCAAACGTGCAATATAGAACAGATGTTTATAGTAAATTATTTGGTATATAAAATATATAGCTAAGTATTTAAATTTCTAGTATAGTTTAATATCTCTACAATTAAAAAGTTGTTCGAAATTTGATCCTACCTTAATTTGAATGTGTTCCTTTAATAAAATGTTTTCACAACTTACAAAAGGCCAGTTATATTTAACTGTATGTCTAACCAAACCTTTTCTAATGTTGATAAAAGCGATTCTAATACACACAAACAAACTGATTTCAACTTGCCTATACACAGAGGCTTCAAAATTGTTTTTCTAAACATTGCAAGTTTACCCAAGCATATCGATGAAGTATTGTTTAATAAACGAGCAGGAGTGTTTTATTAGGTTTAAAGCCACGAGCGCGCAGCGCGAGTGGCTTTAGACCTAATAAAACACGACCTGCTCGTTTATTAAACGGCTTCAAACGCGACTACAAATTCAATAGATATACTGCCTTATTAGTATTCTTTATATAAAGAATACTAATGAGGAGACGACTACAATAGATACTGCCTTATTAGTATTCTTTATATAAAGAATACTAATTAGGAGTGTTTTATCAGTTTAAAGCCACTGCACGTGACATATTATGGTTGACATGATTTGCCAATAAGCTTATGAATTATTAATGATGTTTGAATTAAGATTAAACATGCAACATCAATATTTAGATACACTGGTCTTAAACGAAACTCGTCTTGATGAAACTATTAGTAATTCTGAAATATCAATTGATAAATATACTTTAGTTAGGAACGATCGAACACGACACGGAGGCGGTGTAGCTATGTATATCCGAAATTCAATTAATTTTAATCTCAGAAATGATCTTAGTTCATGATGAAGCCCTTGAGTTTCTGTGCGTTGAGATCAGTAAACCTAAAGTTAAACCATTTCTAATATAAACGTGGTACAGACCTCCTAATTCTTGCAAGGATCTCTTTGACAAACTTCAGGTAATTTTAGATAAAATCGAGTTCCTTGGTATTGAAAGTAATATCATTGGTGATTTAAATTGTAACATGAGTGCATCTATTGCAGATAATAATACTAAACATTTACTTGAACTAAGTGAGTCATATCAATATACTCAACTTATTAAGGAGTCAACTAGAGTTACAAATAGCTCATCCACGTTAATCAATCTCTGTCTTACTAATGAACCGAACAACTTTACTTCTGCGGGCGTTATAGTTCTAGGTATCAGCGACCATAACTTAATTTATGCTATCAGAAAACACTCTAGTCTCTAGTGTTAAATCTAAGCCTATAACTATCAAATCCCGCAGTTATAAAAATTTTGATGAAACTTCATTCAAGCATGACATTGATGCTATTCCTTGGCAGTACATAGTTTCCTTAGATGATCCTATAAATGCTTGGCAAATATTACTTGATGTTGCTGGTAAGCATGCTCCAGTCAAACAAAGAAGAATAAGGAAAAATTGTGCCCCATGGCTCTCTGTAGAAATCAAGAAATTAATATGGGAACGAGATCGATTAAAGCGTAAAGCAGTTTATACTAATGATGAAAATGATTGGGTCAATTTTAAAACAGCTAAAAATCTAGTTAACTATAAAATTAGAGATAGTAAAAAGCAATATTATAATTCTTTGTTTCAACTCAACGTAGGTCGAACTAAAGAAACTTGGAATAGTATCAACAGTCTTCTTTCTAAATCTAAAAATTCAACTACTATACCAAAAATCTTGCAAGATGAAATCGAAATTACTGACAATGTTTTTAATAAGCACTTCACTGAAATCGGACCTAAATTAGCAGCGCAAATTCCAACAACTGGTGCGGCCTCTTATAACATTCCACAATGTAATGAAGTTTTTTAATTACATGAAGTTACTCCATCTCAAATAGATGGACTAATTTATAAATTATCGACTTCTAAGGCTAGCGGTCTTGATAACATTCCTGTTCGTTTATTAAAACTAATTAATTTCACTACTGTGGTTTCACTTACTCACATTATTAATCTAGTAATTCGCAAGGGAATTATTCCTGCTGACTGGAAGTGTGCCAGGGTATCAGCAATTTATAAACATGATTCAAAACTAGATTTGAATAATTATAGGCCTATTTCAGTCCTTCCAGGAGTTTCAAAAATTTTTGAAAAAGTTGCCTTTGACCAAGCATATGCTTTTTAAACAAAAACAAGCTTTTATCTGACATACAGTCAGGACTTAGACCTCTTCACTCAACGTTAACAGCTATGCTTGATGTCACTGATAAATGGTACACTAACATGGACAGTGGGTTAATAAATGCTGTCTTATTCATTGATTTAAAAAAGGCTTTTGATACCATTGATCATAACATTTTACTACAGAAGTTAACTTGGTACGGTTTCAACAAAGAAACGATTGATCTTTTTAGAAACTATCTTTCTGATCGTACTCAAATAACAGTTATTAACAACATACGATCTGATACTCGTAAAGTAACATGTGGAGTTCCTCAGGGGTCTATCTTAGGTCCACTACTGTTTTTAATATATATAAACGACCTACCTAATAGCGAATTGGTATCAGATGGGCGTTTATTCGCTGATGATACCAACTTGACTTTTGCGGACAGCAACCCTGACAAGTTGATTTCTGTTCTAAATGACGACCTTAAAACTCTCCAAAACTGGCTTGACCTGAATAAACTAAGCCTGAACGCGATTAAAACTGTATGTTTATGGCATACAGGCAAAAATAAAGTACTATTCCTGAAGAAACTAATGTTGCTATTTCCGGAAACAAAATTGAAAGAGTTAGATCTTATAAGTGTTTAGGTTTAAAACTGGACGAGAGTTTGACATGGGAGCATCATGTTTCTACTATAATCTCCAAAGTCTCCAAGGTGATTGGAGTTCTACGAAGACTAAAACCATTGCTCCCACAGTCAACTCTTGTCATGATCTATAACTCTTTAGCACAGCCATACTTTGATTATTGTAGTATTGTCTGGGATAGCCTAGGTAAGGGTCTTGGACAAAAGTTACAGCGATTACAGAATAGGGCTGCAAGAATTATTACGTGCTTCTCCTCAGCAAAAATACTGACTTGCTTCTTCTTTCACCTCATTATCACCAGATGAAATGGCACCGTCTTTAAAAAACCATTTTAGATTGGCTCTAGGGGCAAAATTATCAACAGGTTGTTGTTGTCCGTTATTCAGCGCAGTCGGAGTCTTGAACACGTTCATGCAGTGGCCGGGATTTCCTGGATCAGGATAATGTGCTGGAACATTAGAGAACCTCGCCCTCACCCAACGTATCTCCTGGCATATGTTGCAAATTTCTTTGCATGCCTGTCAAAAATGCATGCAAAAGCGCCAGTATGCTTCAATTTCATTAATTTTCATCCCGTTTGTACTAAATATCCCATGAACATAGAACATATCATTCTCACAAATTGTATGCTTTTCTTGTTTTTGGAACTGCTACTTTTTTGCGGGTAAATTACATCACAAACCTGGCGCGAAAAAATTAAAAATAAGCTATAGGTGATTTCAGGTAACCATTTAGAAGACCAGACTAAGGATATATTAAAACTGAAATCGGTTTCGAAATACAACCATCAGGGACGTAGAGAAGCACCT